CCCCGAGGCCCCGCCTCCCCCGCTGGGCGCTCTATAATTGGCGCGGCGGGGCGCGCACTCCCTCGTTCTCCCGCAGGGTCCTGCTGCCGCCGGTCGCCTCCTCCCGTTGTTTCCTCGCCATGAAGGTCGCCACAGCCGCCCCCTCGCCGCTGCCCGCGGGCGCCGGCGGCGCGCTGAAGGCGATGAGACCCGGGGAGGCCGCTCGTTGCGGGCCAGGCCCGGGGGTGTCCCCGGGGGCGTCCCCGGGGGCGGCGGAACAAGCGGCCGCCGCGCTGCTGTACGACATGAAGGGCTGCTACTCGCGGCTGCGGGCGCTGGTGCCGACGCTGCCGCGGCACCGGCGGGTCTCCAAGGTGGAGCTGCTGCAGCACGTTATCGACTACATCTGGGATTTGCAGCTGGCGCTGCAGCGCGGGCCCCCCCGCCCCGCCGCCGCCACCGGGGACACCCCCGAGGTGAGTGTGAACTCCCCCCACCCCACCCCGGGCCCGGCGACACCGGGCTGGTCCCGCTTTCACGCCGGGCTGCAACGCGCCGTCCCCATCTCGGGGTTGCGCCTTCCTCCTGGCTCCCCCCCCACTTTTATTCCCGTCCTCCCGGGGACCCCCACGGACCAGCACTGACCGGCCGCTTCACCCCCCCCTCCCCGCTTTTCCCGTAGGCTCCGTGTATTCCCGCTGCCGACCGGATCCTGTGCCGCTGAGACCGCTCCGGACCCGCCACGGACATCCCCGGGACCCCGGCGGCACCGAGCAGCGTCGCGGCTCACCCGCATCCCGGGACCCCCGGGGCACAACCGGGGTCGGCAGTCGCGGTCCCCTCCTCTGGTGGGATTGCCCCCCCGGGAGGGGGGGGTCCACCCGCAGCCTGGGGCAGGAGGCGCTGCCCGGTGGGCACGGGACGTATCCTTCTCAGATTGCTGAGAGCATTCCCCGTATTGTATATTACAATGATGCTGGAGAATATTGTTCTACAATAGCTGGAGTTTTGTTATTAAACAAGCCCTGATGACCAGGCACGCCTCTGCTTCCTGCCCTCCTGGGAATATGAAATTTGGGGGGGAGGGGGAGAGGGGAAGTCTGGCTGGACCAGTATGGGCTGGGTGGGTGTGCTCCTGGATACTGGGGCTGGGTGGCCGTGGTGGTGCTGGGGAGGGAGTCTCCCGTGGGCTGGTTGTGGTTCCCTGTGGTGGGGTCTTGCAGGTGGCTTTGTCCCCGTCCCAGTGCTGTGCCCCCACAGAGCCTCTCCTGGGACCCAGTGGCTCCTGTGGGGTCCATGTCCTACTCCCCGGGCTCAGACGGGGGGTGTCAGGGGCAGGAAAGTTTGTTTGCACCCTGTTTTCTGTGGTGGGAGGAGATAGCAGTGCTGGGACGTGTCTCCTCTGAGAAAGTGCCTTGATGGGATGGTGACACGAAGGGGACAGTGCTGGGAGCCGGGTGTGGGGCTCTGTGCCCAGCTGGGGAGCGTGGGGGTCCCCATCTCCCCACACCACAGTGATTTTTTTCCAGCGTGGACCTGCCCTCCTTCTGTTTCCCAGCAGTGTCCCTGTGACTTCTGTAATCACACCTGTGTTGGGGGTCAGGCCGGGGTGTTGGTGGCTGTGGGGTGTGGGGGTGATGCTGCCGGGGGTGTCCCCCACTGTGCTGCCCTGAGGAGAGTGAGTGAGCCCCGGGGTGCTGCCCCTGTGGTTCTGGCTCACCCTGGAGCAACCCCCGGGAGTCTGGGGCCAGAGAAACTCTTCTTGGGGACAAGGAAATTGCGTCAGGGGTTGTGCAACCCCTGAGCCTGGGGGTGTCCCGGGCGGCAGCACTGACCTGAGCGGCTCGTGACTCACGAGCGCCTTGGGGGACACACGGCCTCCTGCACCAGATGTGTACGGACCTTCCCACAGGCCTGATGGGGGCAAATTGGGGTGCCCAGGGAGGGCGTTTCTCCTTCCCCAGTTGCCACTGGGGCAGGAGGCCAGCTCAGGGCTTCTCTGGTGGGGGCCTTCCTGCCCCCCAGGGTCCTGGATTTCTCTGGGACTGGAAGGGGTTGACCAGTCCTGACTCTGTGTGTGTGTGTGTGTGTCCCTGCACAAGCATTCATGTGTGTTTACACGGTCACGGCTCTGTGTGCCCATGTGTGTCTGTGCCCCTATGTGCCCACTCGTGGTTCCCGAGCCCGGCAGATCCCCTGGCAGGGGACAAGCAGAGGCAGGTGACTTTGGGACACTCACTGGTCCGGCCAACCTTGTCCTGGCTGTGACACAGCAGCAGTGACACCCTGGGGGCGTTGGCGGGGGGCTGTAGGCTCAGGGTCCCTGTGGATGAACCCGTCCATCAGCCCCAGTGTCCCTTCTGTCGTCAGATGGGTCCCCTCCATCCTACACCCCCCGGTGCCCTCCCTCATCCTCCCTGGTGTCCCCTCCCATCACTAACCGGGTCCCCTCCCTCGGTCGGCGCCGCGACAGCCCCCTGCCCCCGCCGGTTCCCTCCCGGTCCCGGAGCGCGGCGCTGCCGGGGCAGTGGGTCCCTCTCCCGGTGCCCGCTCGCACTGCACGGCCCGGCCCGGCCCGCCCCGCCCTCCCGGAGGAGCCCGGGGGACCTCGGAGCAGAGAAAACCGGGACCTGGGGGCTCTGCTCAGTGCGGGGGGCGCCGAGGCTCTTCCCCACGGCATGGCACGGCGGTCGCATCCCTGCCCGGTGCCATCCTTGCCCATTCACTGCTGGAAGGTCCGACTGGAGCCGTGGGGAAAGGGGGTGCCAATGTGTGTCCCCACATCTCTGCCCCCATCCCCTGCCCGAGCCCTGTGTGCTCCATGACTGAGCCCTCACAATGCGGCCATCATCCCTGCCTCGGGGCACAGGGACGAGGGGTGGCACTGCCACAGGGCTGCCGTGACTGGGGCCCTGGCACTGCCAGGACAGCCGGAGAGCAGGGAAAGGGGCTGCACGGAGCCAGCCCAGGCTCAGAGCAGGGTTGGCAGCGCTGGCAGGGCTGAGCCGCCTGCCACGTGCCGGGATGCTGGATGCAGCCGCACCAGGATGCTCTGGGTAGCCCCAGGGAGGGCCCAGCCCCGCGGGCACCTGTGCCCCAACCAGTCCTTTGTTGTTTTGATGGGACCTGATTCATCCCGGAAGGGATTAGGGATGGGGGAACCCAGTGACGTTCTAGTCCAACCAGCCCGGCCACCCCAGGATGGACATTGGCGTCAGAGCTGGTCCTCGCTGCCACGTACAGCCCCGAGGACATGGTGGAGCTGGGACCCATGATGGGACCCAGGGCCCTTGCGGCGTGGGGCACCGAGACCATCTGCCATGGTGAGGCTTGGGCGCGGGGCAGGGGCACTCAGGGATAGAGGGTTCTTGGTGGGTGTGGGTCTGGGGGGGCAGTGGTGGTCTTTGGCACACTGTTGGGGCCATGGCCACCGCTGTGGCTATGCTTGGTAAGGTTGGGGGTCCTGGGCAAGTGAGCAACTGCTCTTGAGGGGTCCATAAGGTGCATTACAAAGGGCTGTGGTCCTTCTGATGGGGATGGCCATGGCCCATAGGTCCCTCCATAGTGCTGGGCCAGGGCCCTGCCCCCTTGGAGGGATCTTAGGGTCCCCGGTGCTGTCCCCACGTTGGATTCAGGCAGGCAGCTGGACACGTAGATGGTGCTGTCCGTGGCATGTCCAGCCAGAGGGGCTCAGGTCCTCCCAGCAGCAGATTTGGGAGCGCTGGCGGTTCTTCCCCTACAGCCGGGGTTTTTTGGAGGGGATTGCACAGTTCTGTTCTCGCTCTGACTGTCCTGACCTTCCCGTCACTCCACGGCCCTGGGGGCTGCTGCCACGTCACGGCCAACCTGACCGTTTCTGAGATTTGGGTTACCCACCCCCGCAGGGTTCCCAAAGCCCTTCCCAAAGTGGGAACGCTGCTTCCCTGTGCAAGCAAATCAAGCCCTGTCCCCCTGGTGCAGCTCCCTCCCTGCCCCGGGACTGATTTGTCGCATTCCTCTGCTCCTCATTGTCCCCAGCCTGGGCACAGCCAAAGCCCCCTTGAGACCCTGGCCCAGCTGGGTCTCTGCACGTCCCCACATGCCAACTACATGCCCCCATTGGGAGCCCTGACCAGTGCCTCCAGCTCCTGCACACCCCCAGGGTGGGGGGCTGGCAGCGGCACGGTGTGGGACCCTGCCTTCCTCCAGTCCCACGGCAGGCGTGAGTGGGGAACAACGGGGGAACTGGCTTCCCCTTTGAGTCACGCGTTGGGCAAGGCTGGGCTTTCGGCGGCCAGAGCGCTGCGGTGAGCCCCGCATGTGCGCAGGAGGCTGATGTCACCAGGGGTTCTCTGTCCCCAATATAAGTCCTAACTGTGCTGGTGCACGGGGACGGGGTCTCCGCAGCAGCCGGGTGTCCCATAGCCATGTCCTCTGCTCCAGCCGCCAGGTCCAGGCACCATCTCCAAGGCACATCAGGGCTGACATGGCTCTGCCTCCTGCTCCTGCTGACTGCCTGCATGCCCACAGCTGGCACCAACCCCGGCATCAAGGTTCGACTGACACAGAGAGCGCTGGAATTTGGTGAGTCTTGCACCCCTGACCACCCATGGGGAAACTGGGCAGGGGGTGGAGGGGGACAATGCCCTGACTATTTGGGATGGGGGATGGAAGGGTGTTCTGGACTGGGCTGCTCGCCCCACTGGCACCCCAGCCCCTTCCCTGATGCCCTTCCCTATATCCCTGCTCTGCTCCAGGCCGGCAGTTTGGGCTGGAGCAGCTCCAATCGCTGCTGCAGAAGGAGCACGAGCTGAACCTGACGGGCTCCTACCGCAACCCTCTCCTGGGGACACTCACCTACGCTGTGCCCCGGTAAGAGCTGCTCGCGGGGTCCCTGTCCCCATCCCTGTCCCCATGCCAGCCATGCCCTGGGTGCAGCTGCAAGCCCAGGCTGTCCATGTCGTGCAGGATCCAGATCCACGAGCTGCAGATAAATGACTCTACCGTGGACTTCGCCGAGGACGTGGGGGTGAGGCTGATGGTGCAGAGCGCCCGCATCCGGCTGAGCGCAGACTGGGGAGCCCAGCTGGGCGCCATGTGAGTCCTCACCCTCACCGGGCACAGGGATGGGGAGCTGGGTGGCTCAGGGTGGCTTGTGGCCACTGCCGTCCCCGTGCTCACTCGCTCTGTCCTCAGCCAGGACAAGGGCTCCATCGAAGTCCACATGCGTGACCTGGCCGTGGTGGCCGTGCTGGGGGTGAGCGTGGCTGGCAGCGGCCGCCCCACGGTGTGGAGCATCAGCTGTGAAGCCCATGGCACCAACCTGCACTTGGAGTTTCACCGAGGACACAGGTGATGCCGGGACCCCCATCCCCCTCCGTGGGGACTCCTCGGTGCCCTCAGCTGGGGTGTTGGGCTGGGAGAGGCTGGGGCACCCTGGGGTGACCTGAGGACCCTGTTCTGCCCCACAGCTGGCTCTACAACATGCTGGCACCGCTACTCCAGAAGGCCCTGAGCCATGAGCTCAACAAGGAGGTGGGTACTCGGCCCCTGTGCCATGGGGACCTGGTGTCCCTGTCCCCCCCGCAAGGGAGCAGGTTGGGTGACACCCACCTGTGGGCTCACTGACACCTTGCTCTGCTTCCAGCTCTGCCTCGAGCTCCGCAGGGGTGTCAACAGGCTGGAGGCTGCTCTGAAGCACATGAAAGGTGGGTGAGGGGACCCCGGCGACCAGGGCTAGAGCAAGGAGGGGACTGGGCAGGGCGGCCCAGGTGATGCTGTGTTGGGGGGCTGGTGCCCAGTGGGGTCTGTGGGACTGAGGGCTGCAGGAAGGGGGGGGCAGGTGGTCTGGCTCCCCCCAACCACCCCTATGTCCCTGCAGTGTCCACCCAGCTCGATCCCTTTGCTGCCATCGACTACTCCCTGCTGGGGCAGCCGGTCATCACAGCGGAGCACGGGGACATCGCCCTCAAGGTAACGCCACCCGGGGTGTCCCTGGGCTGGGTCTGGGAGTGGGGTGTGGGGGGAGCTGGGCTGAGCCTTGTATCCATCTGTCTGTCTGTCTGTCTGCACAGGGGGAGTTCTTCGGCCAGTCATCACAGCGGAGCACGGGGACATCGCCCTCAAGGTAACGCCACCCGGGGTGTCCCTGGGCTGGGTCTGGGAGTGGGGTGTGGGGGGAGCTGGGCTGAGCCTTGTATCCATCTGTCTGTCTGTCTGTCTGCACAGGGGGAGTTCTTCGGCGTGGCCAAGTACCAGCAGAGACCCTCCTCAGCCAAGCCCGTGGCACTGCCCATGGCATTGCCTGCAGCTCTGCCCGTGGCACTGGCCATGGCACAGGAGCCCATGCTGCTGTTGGCCATCACGGACTTCGTTGCCAACTCGGCCGCCTTCACGTACTTCACGACCGGAGCTCTGCGCAAGAACATCTCCAGTGACATGGTAAGGATGCCTCTGGCTGTGGCTGTGGGGCAGGACTGTCCTCCCAGGGTCCCACCGGGGTGTCCCTGCACCCACCTGTGCCTTGTGGCACCAGCGTCCTGACCTCCTTGTTGCCTTCCAGCTCCCCCGGCGGTTTCCACTCCAGTTGAGGACCAAGAGCATGGGGGTCTTCTCCCCAGAGGTGGGTGTGGGTGGGGTGGGAGATGGGGAGAATGGGACACGAGATGGGATGCAGGAGGGGCGAAACGCAGGAGGGTTGGGACATGGGATGGGATGCAGGAGGGACACAACAGGGGATGGGATGCAGGAGGAGTGGGACATGGGGTGGCATGCAGGCAAGATGGGACACAAGAGAAATGGGATGCAGGGGAGATGGGACGAGGAATGGGATGCAGGGGAGATGGGACATGGGATGGGATGCAGGTAGGATGGGCAGGATGAGAAGCAGTTGGGATGGGACACAGGACAGGACGTGGGCAAGCCAGGACTCATTGCCCACCCTGCCTGCACCCAGCCCAGGGCAGAGCAATGATGGGGCACACGGGCTCCAGGCAGTGGTGGGGATCCAGCTGGGAGCCCAGGTTGGTGCCCACGGTGCTGTCAGTGCCAGTGTGGCTCCGTACCAGCCCAGCCCTTGTCTCCCCAGCTGCAGGAGCGCTACCCAGACCACCCCATGGAGCTGCACCTCTCAGCCCGCCGGCAACCCCTGTTCTCCTGCCGCCCCGACGCCCTGCACGGGTCCCTCTTCAGCTCTGCCGAGGCCTTCGTGGTGCTGCCCAATGCCACCCGTGTCCCCGCTTTCCTGCTTGTGGGTGTGAGGCTGATGGTGCAGCGCGCCCGCATCCGGCTGAGCGCAGACTGGGGAGCCCAGCTGGGCGCCATGTGAGTCCTCACCCTCACCGGGCACAGGGATGGGGAGCTGGGTGGCTCAGGGTGGCTTGTGGCCACTGCCGTCCCCGTGCTCACTCGCTCTGTCCTCAGCCAGGACAAGGGCTCCATCGAAGTCCACATGCGTGACCTGGCCGTGGTGGCCGTGCTGGGGGTGAGCGTGGCTGGCAGCGGCCGCCCCACGGTGTGGAGCATCAGCTGTGAAGCCCATGGCACCAACCTGCACTTGGAGTTTCACCGAGGACACAGGTGATGCCGGGACCCCCATCCCCCTCCGTGGGGACTCCTCGGTGCCCTCAGCTGGGGTGTTGGGCTGGGAGAGGCTGGGGCACCCTGGGGTGACCTGAGGACCCTGTTCTGCCCCACAGCTGGCTCTACAACATGCTGGCACCGCTACTCCAGAAGGCCCTGAGCCATGAGCTCAACAAGGAGGTGGGTACTCGGCCCCTGTGCCATGGGGACCTGGTGTCCCTGTCCCCCCCGCAAGGGAGCAGGTTGGGTGACACCCACCCGTGGGCTCGCTGACACCTTGCTCTGCTTCCAGCTCTGCCTCAAGCTCCGCAGGGGTGTCAACAGGCTGGAGGCTGCTCTGAAGCACATGAAAGGTGGGTGAGGGGACCTTGGCGACCAGGGCTAGAGCAGGAGGGGACTGGGCAGGGCGGCCCAGGTGATGCTGTGTGGGGGGCTGGTGCCCAGTGGGGTCTGTGGGACCGAGAGCTACAGGAGGCAGGGGCGGGTGGTCTGGCTCCCCCCAACCACCCCTGTGTCCCTGCAGTGTCCACCCAGCTCGACCCCTTTGCTGCCATCAACTACTCCCTGCTGGGGCAGCCAGTCATCACAGCGGAGCACGGGGACATCGCCCTCAAGGTAACGCCACCCGGGGTGTCCCTGGGCTGGGTCTGGGAGTGGGGTGTGGGGGGAGCTGGGCTGAGCCTTGTATCCATCTGTCTGTCTGTCTGTCTGCACAGGGGGAGTTCTTCGGCGTGGCCAAGTACCAGCAGAGACCCTCCTCAGCCAAGCCCGTGGCGCTGCCCGTGGCACTGCCTGCAGGTCTGCCCGTGGCACTGGCCATGGCACAGGAGCCCATGCTGCTGCTGGCCATCACCGACTTCGTTGCCAACTCGGCCGCCTTCACGTACTTCACGACCGGAGCTCTGCGCAAGAACATCTCCAGTGACATGGTAAGGATGCCTCTGGCTGTGGCTGTGGGGCAGGACTGTCCTCCCAGGGTCCCACCGGGGTGTCCCTGCACCCACCTGTGCCTTGTGGCACCAGCGTCCTGACCTCCTTGTTGCCTTCCAGCTCCCCCGGCGGTTTCCACTCCAGTTGAGGACCAAGAGCATGGGGGTCTTCTCCCCAGAGGTGGGTGTGGGTGGGGTGGGAGATGGGGAGAATGGGACACGAGATGGGATGCAGGAGGGGCGAAACGCAGGAGGGTTGGGACATGGGATGGGATGCAGGAGGGACACAACAGGGGATGGGATGCAGGAGGAGTGGGACATGGGGTGGCATGCAGGCAGGATGGGACACAATAGGAATGGGATGCAGGGGAGATGGGACAAAGAATGGGATGCAGGGGAGATGGGACATGGGATGGGACACAGGTAGGATGGACAGGATGAGAAGCAGTTGGGATGGGACACAGACAGGACAGGACATGGGCAAGCCAGGACTCATTGCCCACCCTGCCTGTACCCAGCCCAGGGCAGAGCAATGATGGGGCACACGGGCTCCAGGCAGTGGTGGGGATCCAGCTGGGAGCCCAGGTTGGTGCCCACGGTGCTGTCAGTGCCAGTGTGGCTCCGTACCAGCCCAGCCCTTGTCTCCCCAGCTGCAGGAGCGCTACCCAGACCACCCCATGGAGCTGCACCTCTCAGCCCGCCGGCAACCCCTGTTCTCCTGCCGCCCCGACGCCCTGCACGGGTCCCTCTTCAGCTCTGCCGAGGCCTTCGTGGTGCTGCCCAATGCCACCCGTGTCCCCGCTTTCCTGCTGAACATCGTGAGTGTCTGGTGCTGCCATAACACAGGGTCTGCTGCCTGCGCTCCAGGCTGGGGCCGTGCTGGGCGACACTGGGTGATACTGGGTGATGCTGGTGACACTGGGTGATGCAGGGTGGTGGTGGGTGATGCTGGGTGACACTGGGCGATGCAGGGTTGCCTGATCTTTCTGACATCTCTTCTTGCTGCAGGATGCCAATGTGACAGGGAAGCCCACCATCACCAGGAACAAGCTTGGGGGCACTGTGAGCCTGAAGGGGTGAGTCCTCAGCCCCGTGCTGGGTCCAGCCTCCCCATGGATGTCCCCAGGGAGCTCCCCCCATTCTCTACCTCTGGTCTTTTGCCTCCCTGAGTCCCATATCACCTTCTTGGGCACCATCCTGTCCCCGGCTCTTGGCCATAGAATCATTTAGGTTGGAAAAGACCCTTGGGATCATCAAGTCCAACCATCTACCCTACTCTAAAGTTCTCCCCTACACCATATCCCCTAACACCACACCTAAACGACTCTTAAACACATCCAAGGATGGTGACTCAACCACCTCCCATGCCCACTGCCCCAGCACTCGTATCCCAACTAGGTCCTCAGCTGGACTTGCTCTGCTGGGCTCCCATCCCTGCCCCAGGAGGTGACAGTCCCTGTCCCCATGCCTGGCTCTCACCCTGCTCTTGTCCTCCAGGCTCAGCGTGGAGAAGGTGACATCACATGTGGGCCCGGTAGAGGTGAGTGGCCATGCTGGGGGCATGATGGGGCAGCCAAGGGGACCCTCAGGTTCCACACCAGCCTGGGAGCAGGGAGTGGGGGGCCTGGGGAGGATGGAGTTTGGGGTGTCATGGACCCTGTGCAAAGCCAGTGTGGGTGCAGCCCACGGCCCCCTCTGCCTGCCCCGTGCCAGGCTCAGGGATCTGTCTGTCCCACAGGTGAAGAGGCTTGAGAATCTGCTGAAGTTCAGCCTGTGGCTTTTTGGGGTGCCCCAGGCAAACAGTGAGTGTTGTCCCCATCCTGTCCCCAATCCCCTCCCCCTGTCTGCCCTGGGGCTGTTCCCCCCCTTATTCACTGCCCTCCCTGCAGAGCGTCTCCAGGCTGGTGTCCCCCTGCCCACCCTGCACGGCCTCAGCCTTCTCAACCCCCGGATCTCGCTGCAGGAGGTGGGTACTGCCACTGTCCCCTCACCCTGGTGCCCCCCCCACAAGTCCCCCCCTCTCACCCTGACCCCCCACAGGGCTTCGTGCTCATCGCCACAGACCTGCAGTACGAGTCCTGAGACCAGCCACTACATGGGAACCCACCAGCACCCCGGGAGCCATGTCCCCATCACCGTCCTGCTGGCAGCTAGGGATGGGCCAACGCCATCGGGGTCCCATGGCCAGCAGAGCCACCCAGCCACGGGACCCACTGACATCCC